TGCATAGTCCTTTTGTCTATTCATGAGTAGACATCCTTTCATAGAGTTAGTGAGCACTAGAGTTAACTAATCGGCTCCGTGCTATACAATACTCTAGAGTGGGTATGGGTTTGTCCTTTGTATGTGGAAGGACAAGACAAAAACAGTCGTGCATGGCAAGCTTCAATTGATCGTTGAATGCTGGGATGACGCTGAAGATCTCTTCAGTATTCGTTGAGGCTTGTACAGTCTTCACACATACATTGACTAGGTTGTAATCATTGAATACCACTTCAGATCACGAACGCGCTAGTCACTAATCTGGAAATTCAGTCTTTGACATTTGCTGAAGGTTCTTTGGTATGAGTTTTGTCTTCTTGAAGTATAACTGTCGTTGTAGAGTTACAATACATGTTCAGCAATCACTGAACAAACTCAGTGATGATTGTTGAAACTGAATAGACATAAACATAATACTTCAATAGGTAAAAGGGATTATCATCAAATCAATGAGAGAGGATCAACATACTTCTTACCAAATAAGCTTTGCATGGATATAGGACTACAGAGATCAACATGGAGCATATCCAGTGGCTTAGAACAAGAGGTTTCAGATTTGGACTTATGAGTTGCTCTATTGAGCTTTCCCATTTCATAGGCAGAGCATACGTGATCTTTTTCAAAGTTCAGATCAGGTATACTTCTTACTAACTTCTGTTTGGCTAATTTCTTTAAGACTTGAAAGCTGAGATGTGAAAATCTTTGATGCCATAGCCTATTTTCTTCACTTCTATGAGATATAAGACATAAAGTCTCTTGTCCCATTAAAGAGTGGAAATCCATAAGGTAAAGGTTGCCTTTTCTCTTTGCCTTGATTATGGTAAGTCCATATTCTATTTCAATTATACATAATCCTTTTCTAAATCTAACCTCCAGTCATTTACATAGGACTAACCTATGCTTAAAAGATTATGCTTTAAGGCTTCCACATAAGCTACTTTATATGCATATGTTACATTTGACAAGATTTCCATACCCCCTTATGGTACCTTTATTGTTGTCTCCAAAAGTAATTGATCCTCTAGATTTATTTGTGAAGGAGGATAACGGACTTTTATCACCGGTCATATGTCTGGAGCATCCTGAGTCCATATACCATGGCTGCACATGCTGGTCCTACAAGACAATTAAGGTTTCTTAGGTACCCATTTCATAATGGTCCTTTTCTATTAGCTTGGGGTTTATCTTTCTTTCCCCCAACTTTTTCAGGCTTGGACTTGTGATTCTTATGCTGCTTCTGAGTCTTAGGATTTTATACCTATATATGGACTCAGTAAGCATACATTTATTACCTAAGAAATGCTTTCTCAGATGATATAAAAGTGTTAAACAATGACAATTATGCATGCATGGATATGAATGTTTAACAACTTTCTTTTGATTTGAAAAACAAAAATATTGGCCTTACATGAGGTTTATGTTATAGCATTGGTTGTTTTTACAAACTTCCTATCTAGTACAAAAATTTTATTTGAAAACTTGGCTTCTACTTCATTCCTGAAATTTTGCCTTCCAACCTTCTCCGCACTTGCTGAACCAAAAGAAATATAAACATAGATTCATCAATAGCAATTCCCTTTTGTTTCTGTTTAGGAGTAAACTTAATGAACTTGAAAGGATAAGGGTTAGGTCTTGAAGTCTTCTATTTTTTATTGACCTTTTCCTTTGCTTCTTGCTCAAGTTCTAAAGATGATTTTGTTTTTAAGCACATGTCTATGAAGGGCCAATGATTTAGCAAATGCATTCAAATCGTCATCAGTGTCTGAAAACTTTCAACCTTAGACTCACTATTCATCACCAATGCCTTATTTTGTCCCTTATTTTTTGTGATTATCTCTTGATAAACTTCTGGTTACCTCTTTTTCCTCTAAAACTAGAGCCAGAGGTCCACCAAGAGTGACATTCTTCTTCATTATGTCTTGCTCTTAAGCAGCCAGAGTTCCATAGACATTATGGAGTGACCAACTTTCCAGATCCTTGATTTTCTTGCAGGGACATGTACAACTGTGTCCATTCATTATCGAGACTTTTGAGAAATAAGGAGTTATTTTTTTCTTTGGTTCGTCTGATGTCATTGCTGCGACATTGATTAATCAGAGTGTTAAACTTGTCATAGGTTTTCTGGATTGATTCATTTGGAAGAGCCTTGACATTTGTGTATTCATTCGAGCATTGAGTTCTTATATTCTTCCTAGTCTTCAAACCTCCTTCTAACTGACTAGCAAGTTCATCCCACATCTCTTTTGCAGTTTTGCAAGAGTCAAGAGATTGGAATATTTCATTTGGGATAACTATGATGAGTAGCCTTTTAGCCTTCCTGTCTATTTCCATTTTTTCCTTGTCTTCATCATTCCATGACTTTTCATCCTTTGGCATGCAATTTAGGATCCTCTTTTTGGTCAACTGACTGTCGAATTCATAGGTTCGATTCCTGTTGGATGCACTTTTTACCTATGGTACCTCTTCCTGCTAACAATCGAAAAGATATGTCCGCGTCAAGAAAAATGACATAGAAAATAGCATTGCTTAAAGAGTTCCACTGTCGAATTGATCCTATTAATGACGAGGAACACATTTTTGTTATGCTACTAAATATGCAGGAATTTCTTCAGTAGTAGGAGTGGTTAGAACCCTAGGAATTAGGGTTTGTGGAATATGAGCGCCATTGACCACAGATTTGTATAGATTTGCATCCATACCCTCGAAGAAGTTTATCATTTGTATTTTTCATTGAGGATACACTTCTCTTTGAAGAGCTAGGGTTTTTGTGAGTGATCTCACGCTATATGCAGAATTCCAATTCGGATTAGACATTCTATCCAAGAGAAAATATCAATTAATCACAAAATTTTATATCTTTACGAGAAAACTATGAAAAATATGGGATATGAATGAACAATAACTAGATCTTGAATAAAAAACCCAATAGATGAGAGAAATGATTCAAAATTGCAGAATCGACCGTTTGATTGATGAACAATTAGTCTGCTCTGATACCAATTGTAAGATCCCAGTTCTGTCAATAGATGGATAGATGAAGGAATATTAGAGTGGAGGAAGGTGATCTATCCATTGGGTTATGAAGAGTTCATAAGCATCTATGCATATTCAAGGACAAGTTGTAGCCATCATCATCATCTTTATTGATATAGGGAGAAAAGCTTTACAGATCTTCAAAAGGAAATTCAACTATACGTACAAAGAGTAATCAAAAGCTTGCATGAAAAGTTACTTAGAGAATGCAATTTAGCTACTACTTATAACCCCTTAGAGGATAAACTCAAGGCACTGATGAATCATAGTTTGCCATGTGTAAAGTGAAATAACTGCCTCTAGATGGCATGTCTAATCAAGAGGATCCATGTGGCAGTTTGTTAGGCATGAGCTGCCTGTACAATAGCTGATGTCATGAGCATTCCGTCATTAGTTGAAGACTAGAAGGGTTAAGGGTTGTTCCTGGATGAGAGGGACTCTTCATCAGTAGGTCATCATCAGGTTTGGTATCTCTGCTCTTCATGAGATACTTCTGGTTTGTCTACATAAGATCTCTAGTCTTTAGCACATTACCATTTATACAACACTTTTACAAATAAGAATTATGGGTCTAACAATTACATAGGAGGATAAAAGGTGCAACTAGTAATACTTTAAACATCTCCAACAACTTTTCTATAATAAAGAAAATCATTTTTTATTCTTTATAATGCTCCAACAGTTTCTCTATGTCATTATCTAAAATAGAGAATTATGGAGAAAACTCCAAATATAGATAATTCTCTAAATTCTCTAAAGAGAAGAGAGATAAATGAGTTTATTTATTTATTCATTCCACCAATGAGGGTTGAATTAATATTATTATATATACTTTTTTAAAGATATGTATTGGGGATCATAAAATTATAAAATATTTAAATAATATAATTAATGATAAAATCTCTAAAACAAAGAATCTATTAGAGTTAATTGTAATTTATTTTAGATATTTTGACTTTTAGTTTTCTACTTTAGAGAAATTAGATCATTTCCAAGAGTTTCTCTATAGTTTCTATAAAATAGAGAACTAAAAGTCAAAATTTCTAAAATAAGTTACAATCAACTCCAATAGCTTATCCGTTTTACAGATTTTATCATCAATTATATTATTTAAATGTTATATGATTTTATAATCCTAATACATTTTTTTAAATATATATATAAAATGATATTAATTCAACCCTCATTGGTGGGATGAAGAAAAAAAAAACTCATCTCTCTCTCTCTTTAGAATTTTAAAGAATTTTTTGTATTTGGAGTTTTCTCCATAATTATCTATTTTAAAGAATGAGATAAGGAATCTCTTAGAGCTTTCTAGAGAACAAAAAGTTGATTTTCTTTATTATAGAGAATTTGCTAGAGATGCTCTAAAGAATAAAAAATTGATTTTCTCTATTATAGAGAAGTTGTTGGAGATATATAAAGAAGCTGTTGGAGATGCTCTTTAAATATATAAGGTTGGATTCTAGTGATAGGGAAAGCTAAAATGAGAAGTATAAAAAGAAGATGAGATATACTGAATCAATCCCTTTGATAAGTATCAACCATAATTTATAGATAATAAGATTAAAGATGATGGAGAAATCATACCGATTACAAAGAAGAGGTGATGGAGGCCGGTGAAAGAAGACGATGGAAGGAGGCGAAATGGAAGAAGACGGTGATGAAGGAGGCTGGACAATTGTTTTGGATAATTAGGTTTAAGATTTGAATAATATAGTCATTTTATATTTAGTCCTATGTTTTTTTTTTTTTTTTAGTGGAGGAATCAAGTTTTATCCCATAAAATTAAAAAATAGTCCTATGTATTTTTTTGTTTTGACATGCAAATCATGAAAATATTTTATTTTGTCCCTTACGATTAACTCTTCTGTCAAGTAATTAATAGTAATTTAACAATGGATTCGCACGCAGTTGGTCTGTTTTTGGTGAGAGTAATCACAAGAGGTCAAAGTCAAAGGCGAGAAGCCAGAATCCTTGACTAGAGAAGTCCTGTGGAAGAGGGTCGACAATCAATCAAGAAGATGATTTCAGTGGAAGAAGCTTTGGGGATAGTGGTGAACGTATCTAAGCGGTTGCCACCGGTAACGGTGCCCATTCACGATGCTCTTGGCAAGGTCTTGGCTCAGGACATTCGAGCTCCCGATCCTCTTCCTCCCTATCCTGCTTCCATCAAGGTCTTTTACAGCTCTTTAATCGTCGATGCATGTTTATCAGTTAAAATGTGAAAGGTATAAACTATGAATCATATCAACATGTATGATCAATACATAACAAAATTAACCCTAGAATTGAATCAAGTATCTAGTCAGTGAAGAAATTTTTATGCGTACCTTTTGTTCCTGATGAAGATGCAACCCCTGTTGTGTTTACTTCTTGTTCCATTCTCTATAGGATCCACATCTGTATATCTATCCCATGATGGATGTGGTTTTCATAGAAATTTTCAGTGTTCCTTGATAGAGAGGAAACGATGTAGGCGTATATGAAATGTGTATATATCCCACTGATGGGAACAGTTCTTTCCATCAAAAAACCAACTTAACTGTCACAACTATATATATACGGTACCCTATATATATGTATGTGAACCATCTAATTGTTGACTCACAATTATCTTGTTCTCTATACAATCTCCCACTGAACAAGATAATCTTAAAACAACAATTAAACTGAATCGTGCACTTGATTCACATTATTACATTATTTTTTATTTATTTATTTAGTTCCTTCATAATTGAAACCAATCACCAGACTTTGACTGAACAATAAGATTGTGCAGGCATCCATGGTCATAATGTTAAAGTTTCAATTAAAGACTGACAACAAAGGGTACCTAATCCTTACTTAATCAATGCTAAGTTTAACAGCTGTTTGATCATATAAATCCTCAGTCACTTAACATTTTGAATAATCAAATAAGATTACTTAAATTGGTGAGGAATGCTCTTATATATTCATGTGAACATCCCAATTTGTACAAGTCTTAACTTCACAGAATTGCAAGAGCTTCTTCATTACATATACACGTACAATTACATATATGATATCTTCATATTACAAGGAAATGTAAAATATGATGTTGCAACTTATCAATTCTTAAAAAGTCGATAGAGTTTATATCCCCATATCCTTAACATGTTTCTTAAAACATTCAACGGGAAGTGCCTTTGTAAAAGGATCTGCCAGCTGCTCCTTTGTGCCTATCTTCAAGACTTCTATTTCCTTGTCTTTGACATTTTCCCTTACTGCAAAGTATTTAACATCTATATTTCTGGAACCACTGCTTCTCTTGTTATTCTTGGCGAAAAACACAGCAGCAGCATTGTCACAATATAAACTAATCGGTCTTTCTATTGAATCCACAATCTTTAATCCATCAATAAAATTCTTAAGCCAAATGGCATGAAATGTTGCATCATAGATTGCTATGTATTCTGCTTGCAAAGTAGAAGTAGCAGTTAGAGATTGCTTACTTGCTTTCCATGATATTGCACCTCCTGCCAGCATGAAGATGTAACCAGAGGTAGACTTATCATGATCTTGTTTGTAAGAGGCATCTGTATAGCATTCTACTCTTAATTCTTGATCATCAATTTTTCTATATGATAACATATAATCTGCTATCCCTTTTAGGTATCTTAGTACCTTTTTTCCTGCAATCCAATGTGCATAGCCAGCATTGGATTGAAACCTAGATAACATGCTTACTGCAAAAGCTATGTCAGGTCTGGTACATACTTGTGCATACATTAAACTCCCTACCAATCTTGCATATGGTATTTTATCCATCTCTTTCTTTTCCAATGTGTTATTAGGACATTGTCYCTTRTGCAWTCTATCCCCTTTTGAGATTGGTGCTTCACCTCTTCTGCAATTTTTCATTCCAAACCTTTTCAATACCTTCTCAATGTAACCCTTCTGAGATAATCCCAAGGTTCCTAATTTTCTGTTTCTAATGATCTCAATTCCCAATACATAATGTGCTTCTCCCATGTCCTTCATATCAAAGCTTTTCATGAGAAATGCTTTTGTAGTTTGTAGAAGATTCTTACTATTGGTTGCTAGTAAGATGTCATCTACATACAGTATAAGAAACATAAAATTGCTCCCACTGGTCTTTAAGTATATACATTCATCCAGTTTGTTTTCCTCAAAGCCAAAGTTACTTATAACAGTATCAAATTTCTTATACCACTGCCTTGATGCTTGTTTCAAACCATAAATGGATTTATTCAACTTGCACACTTGGTTATTGTTAATTGAAAATCTTTCTGGTTGAGTCATATGGATTTCTTCTTCTAAATCTCCATTTAAGAAGGCTGTCTTTACATGCATCTGATGTAATTCCAGATCAAAGTGTGCTACAAGAGCCATTAAAACTCTAAATGCATCTTTAGTTGAAACAAGTGAAAATGTTTCATTATAATTGACTCCTTYCTTTTGATTATAGCCCTTAGCTACTAATCTGGCTTTGTATCTTTCAACCTTTCCATTTGCATCCCTTTTGGTTTTAAACACCCACTTGCATCCTATAGGCTTTATAGAGTTTGATTTATCAACTAGGTCCCATACTTTATTGTTTGACATACTTGTCAGTTCATCTTCCATGGCTTTGAGCCACTTATCTTTATTTGATGATTCCATAGCTTCCTTGAAACTGATTGGATCATCATCTTCTCCCAAATCAAACTCTATTTCGGTCAAATATACATGGTAATYATYTGATATTGCTGATCTTCTTTCTCTTRTAGATCTTCTTAATGGTTCTGTGTTATGTATTGGTTCAGGCRGCTGTTCTGGTACATGTTCAAGTGCATGTTCTATTTCAGATTCATGTACTTGATCTTGTGGAGGTTCTAAAGATGRATTGTCAGCAAATTGATCTATATCTTCAACTACATTGCTACTTATAATAGGTATTGATTGCAATGTTATATTTCTGTCTTCAGAAGTTAAAGATGGATCACTTTCATGGTATGTCATCCAATCATCTAAATTCTGTTCAATTTGAGATGAACCTCCCATATCATCATCTTCATTAAATATTTCATCATAAAATACTGCCTTCTTAGTTTCAAAGATCCTTTGTTCTCTTCTTGGATTATAGAACTTATAACCTTTTGACTTTTCAGAGTATCCAATAAAGAAGGCTGACAGTGACCTTGAATCCAGTTTACTCAATTTTTCAACATGGTATTCTCTGGTCTCCGCCTTGCATCCCCACACATGAAAATGGTTTAGACTAGGCTTATAGCCATTCCAAAGTTCAAATGGTGTACCTTTTATTGCCTTGGTTGGTGTTCTGTTGCATATGTAGTTTGCTGTCTTTAAGGCTTCTCCCCATAGAAATTTCGGTAGACTAGATCTTGCAAACATGCTTCTAACCATGTTCATCAGTGTCCTGTTCTTTCTCTCTGCCACACCATTTTGCGTAGGAGTATAAGGTGTAGTGTACTCAGCTTTGATTCCAACCCTTTCTAAATATATAGCAAAGGGTCCTTTATGTTGTCCCTTTTCAGAATATTTGCCAAAATATTCTCCTCCTCTATCTGATCTAACTACTTTGATAACCTTCTCAGACTATCTTTCTACTTCTGTCTTAAATTGTATAAAACAATCTAAGACTTGTGATTTTTCTGACATGAGAAATACATGACAGAACCTTGAGAAGTCATCTATGAATGTAGCAAAATATTGATTTCCACATATTCTCTCAATTGGGAAAGGCCCACATATGTCTGTGTGTATTAGTTCAAGAATACACTGACTTCTTTTAGAGTGAAAATTTCTAGAATTGGTCATTTTTCCCTTAAGACATTCTACACATGTCTCAAAGTCCAATTCTGGCAGAATTTTCTGTCTAATCAAGTCCTGCATTCTTGATCTATCTATATATGTGTCCTAATCTTTTGTGCCATAAGAAGGATGATACATTCTGTTTACGTCTTTTCTTAGCTCTTGTGAGTTTGCTTATTGAGCATATATATCTCTTGAGACCCTTATTGATGGTTTCATTTACACAGTTCAAATGCCAATATCCATCAATTAAATATGCATTCCCAAAACAGACATCATCCAAATAAAACAACATACAATCCTTATTTGCATAGAAGGAAACATTGTTTTTAGTGACAATTTGAGAACCTGACATCAGGTTTCTCTTTATTTTAGGTATATAATACACATTGTTAAGAGTTAACACATAATTGTTCTTAAATAGTAGTCTACATTCACCAATAGCTTCAACCTTCAATGCTTATCCATTTGCTGTACATATTCTTGATTCATTCATTTTTGGAATTGTTGTCCTTGACAATCCCTGCATTGAATTAACAATATGTATTGGTGAGGCTGTATCAAACCACCATGAATTGTCACTATTACAAATAGTGGTTTCTAAAGAAAAGAAATGTTTAACATTACCTTTCTTGTTCAACCATTCCTTAAAGCCTTCACAGTCCTTCTTGAAATGTCCAGTTTTCTTGCAGAAGAAGCATTTCAATTCCCTTTTGTTCTTGAAGGGTCTTCCTTTACTTTTGTTATTCTTAACAAAAGGGGTAGAAGGACTTTTCTTATGAAAATTGGAATGTTTCTTGTTCTTTTCCTTGGACTTTGACACATAATTGATAGCTATTGCCTTTCCTTTATTTTTGATTTCRRATTCCTCTTGRACACAAATAGAAATCAGCTCATCTAAAGTCCATTTTTCCTTCTGTGTATTGTAAAGACTCCTTAAGTGGCTATATTGATCAGGTAATGAGTTCAATAGAAGGTGTACAAGGAATGAATCATCAATTTCAACTTTCATTTCCTTGAGTTTGCAGGAAGTGTCAATTCCTTGCAAAATGTATTCTCTTATACTCCCTTGTCCGTTAAAACTCATTCTGATCAGCTTGTTCATAAGGTATCCAGTTTCTGCCTTATCTGATACCTTATACTTATCAACAATTGAGGCAAAATAGACTTTAGTAAGATCAGATTCGGGTATTCCCCCTTTGACAGCATCAGTCATGCATTTCTTTATGTATATTAATGCTATTCTATTGTGTTTGTGCCATTCTTGATATTTAGCCTTAACCTCTTTGGTTGCTGTATCTGCCGGTTTTGGTGGTGGATCTTCTTTGAGGACATGATCGAAGTCTAGAATACCTAGCATAAGTTCGATGTCCTCTTTCTATTTCTTATAATTCACACCATTTAATGGTGCAAAATTAGCCACACTCATAGAATATTGTGTTGTATGTGACAGGAATTGTTGCTGATCAATTTTGCTAGATGATCCTGAATTTATGGAATAGATTTACACTTATCAGTCTATGCAGTGTGGTAATGAATTCTACTTGTTCATCAAGAGTTCAATAAATCTTATCTACAATGGAAACATGAATTTCGAATTTGATTACCTTTTGTGAAAGCATATCAAATCCTAGATTCTGTCATGATCAGGTGTCTGTTTGATCAAAACTACTATGGTAGCATATGAAGAAAGCAGACACTGTAATTTTACAATATCTATACATGATTCTTGACTACTGCAGTGGTACTTAAATCATGTAAATCCAGATTCACTGTGGTGATATGTGGATTTCCTTAAGATTTTGACTACTAGTTCTTGACTACACATGATTCTTTGCTACTTATTGACACTCAGAGTTTTGACTTTTGATTTGTTAAATTATACAGACTGTCAAATTCTGTTGGATGTGAAGTCTATCGATTTCCATGCACTGTTGATTTCATTAAACATATAGTCAATCGATTTTGTATACAATCGATTTCAATGAACGAGTCGGTCGATTTGATAGAACCCGCAGTTTATGAAAATCAATTTCATAATAGTCTGTCGATTTCTATGTGTAATCGATTTTGATCAACAAGTAGTCAATCGATTTCTGTGTATAATCGATTTCAATGAACCAGCAGTCGATCAATTTCTGTGCGTAATCAATTTTGTTCAATACGCAGTCAATCGATTTTTCTGTATAATCGATTTTGATCAACAATCAGTGAATCGATTTTCTGTATAATCGATTTTGATTGATACGCAGTGAAACGATTTTGTGCACAATCGATTTTAATCAATACATAGTCGATCGATTTCTATGTCCAATCGATTTTATTGAACACGCTGTTAATCGATTTCATGTATAATCGATTTTGTTGAAAACTCAGTCAACAGATTTTATGTACAATCTATCGATTCCATACAGTTACTAATTCAATTCGATGGGTTAGGGCTCTGATACCAATTGAAAGGTATAAACTATGAGTCATATCAACATGTATGATCAATACATAACAAAATTAACCCTAGATTTGAATCAAGTATCTAATCAGTGAAGAAATTTTTATGCGTACCTTTTGTTCCTGATGAAGATGCA